GACCAGCAAACCTGGTCCCTTAGGCAGGATCTTTCAAGAAAGGAAAAAGTTATGCCTGGGAAGGTGGGAAGAGGGGGCCCACACAGACACGCAGTTGACCTGCACCTTGGATATTTTCAGAAAAACATTATTCAACAAAACAAAGCAGCATAGTTTGGGTCTGTTCTCTGCTTAACAAGTTTACACACACACATACACGGCAAACTCCCCAGAGGACTTTAACTCTTCATTCCTAGCGATCTCTGTGGACTCCTTTTCTGCAAAGAACATGGATTCCTGTGGTCTGAGTTCCCCGGGGCAGCCGTGGCAAGGGCCCACAAACTGGGCTTGTAGAACCGGGCTGTATCTCTCCCAGTCTGGAGGCTGGGAGTTCGAGGGCAGGTGTCAGCGTGTGGCTCCCTTCTGAGGCTCTCAGGGAGAACCCGTTGCACGTCTCTCCTGGCTTCTGACGGCTCCAGGCTGCCCTGGGCCGGTGGCCACATCAGCCCGGTGTCCTTCTTCACATGGCTGCCTGCCTTCTGTGTGTCCATCTCTGTGTGTCTTCTCCTCTTTTATAAGAGCACCAGCAGAGTGGGGTTTAAGCACTGCTGAGGCACTTGGCTGCTCACCACAAGGTCGCTGGCTCAAACCCACCAGGCGCTCTGGAGGAGGGTGAGGCACCCACTTCTGTCAAGAACTACAGCCTGGGAAACCCAGTGGGGATTGCTAATGAGTTGGAATCCACTCAACGCCAGCGGGCCCAGTGCATTGGGGTAGTGCAGCGGTTAAAGCACTGGGCTGTTAACCAAAAGGTCGGCAGTATGAACCTAGCAGCTGCTTCATGGAAGAAAAATGACGCAGTCTGCTTCCATAAGATGGCAGCCTTGGAAGCCCCGTGAAGAGTTCCACCCCACCCTAGAGGGTCACTAGGAGTCAAAACCGACTCAGTGGCAGTGGGTTTGGTTTTTTCTCTTTTCCTTTTTGGAGGCCCAATGGCTGACCGAATATTGGTGCTTTGAACCCACCCAGGGGCTCCATGGGACAAAAGAGCTGGTGTTGTGGTCCCATAAAGATGGCAGCCTAGCAAACCCTATGAGGCAGCTCTCCTCTGTCCCAAGGGGCCACTGTGAGTTGGAATTAATCCAACAGCACCCAACAAGAAGGTGGGATCAGAATCCACCCTCCCCCTGTATGACCTCACGTTAACCGACTACCTCTTCAAGGACCTCATTCCAAACAAGGCCACTTCACAGGAAGCGAAGGGCGAGGACTTGATCCTTTTTGGAGGTCACGACTCAGCCCACCACAGCTAACAGTAAAAGCCTACCAGCTTCCCAACGTGTAGCTCAGAGCGTGAACGTGCAGCGTGTACAGGGGTCTGACGGAGGGGCCCCGTGTGTCTCACGTCCAGGCAGCCATGACACCATGACCTACTGCCTAAACAAGAAGTCCCCGATCGCCCACGACCAGCCCAAGCTGCTGCAGCTCCTGGGCAAGATGGTGCCCTGCGTCACCCGCCCCGTGGTGCTCAAGTGGTCAGCGACTCAGGTAAGGGCTGCCCTGTGACGTCACCTGGGGGGAGGTGGGACTCTCTGCCCTGTGACGTCACCTGCGGGGAGGTGGGACTCTCTGCCCCTAACCCCATCCAGCCTGCTGCATGCAGATGGGGGTATAGGGACTAAGGTGGGAGTGGAGTGGCGAGGGAGGGGCGTTGTGACATGTACCCTCGGGGCTGCACCCGGCTAGGGAGGGACACCGCTGTCTAACGTGCACAGGGGCCTGGGAGGCACTGCTGTCCCCTGGCCCCAGCTATCTGTATCTGAGGGGTGTGTGTTTGACAGGTGCCACGCCTAAGGAAATAACCAGTGAGGGGCAAGGTGACTTTTTACTGTATTTATTTAATTAGTGGTGGGGGAGCTCTGGTGGCGCAGTGCCTAAGGCACCTGACTGCTAACGAGAAGGCTGGCGGTTCAAACCCACCAGCCACTCCTCGGAAGGAAGATGGGGCAATCTACTTCCATAGTGATACTGCCTCGGAAACCTAAGGAGGGGTCGCTATGAGTCTGGTCCGACTTCACGGCACAAAACAACAACAGTTAGTGGTGGGGAAGGCAGCTACAGACAGCTACGTGCGGCTCTGATCATCTGGCTCCAGGCACACCCTAAACTCCTCACCCTAAGCATCCCCATCTAACCTGAAACACCTCCCTCTAACCTGAGATGCAGTCTGTGGAAGGGATTGCTAAAGCATAAGACACTCTTTGCCAAGGTCAGGTTTAGGGACCCTTCCCCTTCCACCCCAAGTCCCTTTAGGCCCCAGAGCACACCCACTGTCATGTGCTGTGTCCAAGAGAAAGCACAGAATTTTCTAAGGGAAGAGGAGCAAAACCCACACTTCTTGTTTGAAGGACAGTCAGGAAGGATGCATTTGGCATCGGGCCAGAGCGACCTCCGCGGAGTTCACAAGTGTCTCCCTCCAGCGAGTGCTTCATCCTCCTGCCCCTCCCACCCCCGGAAACTGTCAAAGAGCATTTCATTTTGTGTGAAACCCTTGTCCTGACTTGGTACAATGTGGTCTCCTGCTGCGATATCTGTCCTTTGTTGTTATTTGTCCTTTAGGGGTTGGTAACCTCACTCAGCATCACGGCCTCTAGGTTCACCCACGTGATGCGCGGTTTGGCGGGTCCGCCATCGTTCTTTAAGGCTGTGGATCTGCCATGGTAGGTACGGACCGTAGTCTGCGGGTCCGTTCCTCCAAGGGTGGGCCCTTAGGTTGCTTCCAGCTCTTTGCTATTCTCAACAGCACTGCAACGAACAAGGCTGTGTGCGTGTGTCCGGTCATGTCTCAGCTCTCCTGCCTCTAGGGTACACACCTCGTCATGGGATGGCTTGGTCACACGGCATTTCTACTTACACCCCTTTCAGGAAGCGCCCTGCCGTTTTCCACAGAGGCCGCACCATGCTACGGCCCCTCCAGCGGTGTGGGAGGCTGCCGGTCTCCGCAAGCCTCGCCAGCCCTGTTTGTTTTCCCTGCTTGTCCTGTTAGTTTGGCTGCAGGGAACAGGGCTCTTCAATCCTCTTTATGAAATTTCCTCGCCTCTTTTGCATTCAGGGAAGGTCCGCTTGTGCCATGCTCTGCCGTCTCCAAGTGAATTTCTGCCGTTTTGGTTACGATTTCCTGCGGAGGGCACCGGCAGCCCTTCCCAATTCTCACGTTAATTCTCCTTTGCTGGTGCTGTCATTTCATTTTCCTTCCTCCCACCATTTTGTGAAGGGGCTTTGGTGGCATAGTGGCCAAGGCACTCGACTGCCAACCAGAGGGCTGGCGGTTCAAACCCACCAGCCACTCCTCGGAAGGAAGATGGGGCAATCTACTTCCGCAGTGATACTGCCTCAGAAACCCAAGGAGGGGTCGCTATGAGGCAGGTCTGACTCGACAGCACCTAACAACAAAAACAACAACAACCGTTTTGTGAATCTGCTTCTCCTTGTCTATTTTGTAAGGAGCTCTGGTGGTGTAGTGCATAAAGAATTTGGCTGCTAACCACAAGGTCAGCGGTTCAAACTCACCAAACACTCTATGACAGAAAGATGGAGCCATCTACTTTGGTAGACTGACGGCCTTGGAAACCGTATGGGGGCATTATGAGTCAGAATGGACAATGGCAGTAGGTTTCCTTTTCCTTTGTGCTCTATTTTATACAAGTATCACCTCTCCCGTGTGGCCACAGCCTCTCCCCTTGTCATGGGTTGGGGCCTCCTAGAGCCAGCTCTGCGTTGCTGAGAGCCGCGAGAGGTCCTGGGGTCCCTGGTGGCTCTTCTCTGTGACAGTGGGAGGAGGCTAGGGGACCCTACAGGGATACCTTGAGATCCCCGTGGGGGGACACTGGCTACACGGTCAGAGCCAGCAGGA